CATGAAGTGGGGGCGGCGCAATTCTTTCCCTTGATCCGGATGTCGTAACGCAATGACACAACACAACTTGGGCAGGGATCTGGAGGAATGTTCAGTAAAATAAATAATAGTCATTTCATCAGTGATTAATTAAAAAAAAATTTTCATGTTGAAACGATAAAACAAAAAAAAAGGGGAATTTTTCATGATTTCATAAAAATAAAAAATAAAAATAAATTTTAAAAAAAGAAAAAAAAAAAAAAAAAAAAAAAAAAAAAAAAAAAAGAGAAGTGTATCGGCCAGTCTTCCGAGGGCTACCAAAAGCAAAATGGAAATGAGAGGAAGATTATAGATGTTTTGACCCAATAGATTACACAGAAGGCGCCAAGGTGGCCCATTAACCTGTTCCTTTGCGGTAGTTGGGTCGATTGCATGAGATAGGTGAACATGCAGCGCGGCCCACCTGCTTGAAATGAAAGGTAAAGCTGCTTTCAGTTATCTAAGTATAAGGTGGCTAGAGGGCACCAGCAATTCAAAAGGTTGCAAAGACGTGGGCACCCAGTCAGCAATGACATGGTGCTCAAGTGGAAAATTCTCTCAATCTTGCTTATGGGAAATTGGGAATGGGAGGAAAATGGAGTGGCTAAGTCCAACTTCTCAATGCAATTTTACTTCTTTGTAATAATTCAGAAATAGATTTTAAATTTTTATCTTTAATTCTAAAACCAACATTTTGAAATTTGTGGAAATAACTCGGCTAAGTTTTTGTTAATAATGCAATTCTATCGATGAAATAATATTAGAATGTTAGGCCTATTCTATTGAATTGAATGTGGTCTATCTTATACATGAGTTGGGGTTAGAAATTTGGGTTATATATATATCTACAAAGGTTGGATTAAATGCCCTTGCATTCAGAAACTCACATACTGTTGCGCAAATCACACAGAAATAGACATTGTAAATTGTTGTATATATGAAAGTCGGATTAAGAAAACGATGTGTAAAGAGATAGATAATATTGGAGGGATAAACAATTTCAATCACAAAAACCTTTTGCCGTGGCTACTGCCTCTGCTTTTGCTGCCCTTCTACCGCCACATATCCTGAGGAAGAACTATTTGTCACAGAAATAGCAGAACATATCAACTTCCTACTTGAACTATTATTCAATTTGGACACCAATTGGCAAATTTGTGAAGAAGAAAGGATGCTAGTATGTGATTGCAGGCAAAAATCTCATATGAGGCCAAAGACAGACAAATAATGTTTGTCACAAGCAACAATTTTGTACATCAGTATAAACTTGACTCACAATGATTAAAAGAGAAAAAAAGAATCCGGCATGATTCTAATTAGTTCAATACCTAAGAACTTCAATTATAATTACTATAAAAATAGTGAAACCTGTTAGCTAGATGGTATTTTTGTTATATTGCTATACATGCAAAGTTCCAAACACTGTAAAACTTTGATTTTAGCCGTGAAACGAGTTAGCCAGATAGCAATTTGGTGTTCTGAATTTTCACCTACCAATGCTCCCCCAGATTGCATTTTTAGTCTAAAATAGGTCGCTTCAGGTGCCAGGTTAAACGGCATCCACTGTTGTTTGCTCAACCTCTATTGCCTCCATTAGCCATGCCAGCCCTGCACAAGCTACCGTTGTAGCTTCATTCACTGGCCTTAAGTCTGCCTGATCAGCATTCCCGGTCACTTCCAAGTTCAACAGACAACAATGACATCACTTTCCTTCCAAGCAAGGGATGCAAAGTCCAGTGCATGCAGGTGCAACCTCCAACTGTGGAAAGAATAAGTCTGAGACCCTATTGTTAGAAACAGAAGGAGGAGGCTAAATCTGTTAAGAAAGGTTTCTTCTTTCTCGAATTACCGTATGCACATGGAACCCTGGGTCAGTAGAAGAAGGAGAAGCTAGGATTTGGCAACAAGCAACAAGAGCAATGCATTAGTTTCATTGCCTAAAAGCCTCCAGGATACTCAAGTCAGTACTTTCCAATTAGATTTTTTAACAAGCAACATGAATTGCTTTGTTTTTCAATTCATGTTTTTCCAGAAATGACTGGGTTTTGTATGTTTCTCTTTCTGTCTCTCTATTCCATTAACATCCTAAGATAATGACAGAAAAACATCAAGTAATTAACGATTGTATGATAGGGGGAAAAACTCAAGATCACCTTCACTGACTCATTCTTTAACCCAACTGGGATGGTGGATTGAATTGTGACACTCATCCTTCAATACAGAGAAAATGCAGAAAGTAAAATGGCAAACTCTACTCAGACAACTTGACAAAATAAAGTAGTAGTGCTGAATCCTTGCGGTTAATTTGATTGTATAAAGGGGAATCATATGTAAACATATGAAACGATATTTATGCTCTACATATCTCAATCGTTGATTAACTCATTGCTTAGTTGTCCAAGAGGAGAAATGTAACAATTCTGAATCAAACAAGTAAAATTCAAGCCTAACGCCACTAATCTAATTCTGAAGTATGAATTACCAAACACCCTCACAAAACCAGGCCCACTAACTCTCACAGCAAGTATGGCTTTTACACCAAGCCCAACTAACCTTCAAAAGACCAAATGAAGGGCTAAGAAATCACCTGGGACAAACACAGACGACCAACCATCTCAAAAATTTCCGGCCCTCATTAGTGAGATGAGATAAGATAATGGGCTTCTGCCACGTGGTAGAACTAGTGGAGTGCTTAACGATAAGCTTGGAATCCAAACCATACTCACTAGTTAATACCCCGGGCAATGCCCCGGCCCTTGAAATAAAAAAATAAAATAAAATAAAATTTTAATATTAAAAGGAAATTAGTAGTGAGAAGACATATAATTACTTAAAAGAAAAATATAATAGTGAGTTTTAGAGAATTTAATTCCAATTATGTCAATCCTTATGATGTTAGCAATATATGTATATTTAACTGCTTGGAAATACAATAGAAAACAACAAAATACTCGCAATGTTGTGTCTTATTATAACCATAGTATCCGCTGCCATATATGATTCACGAATAACATTGACGATACAATCTCAATGTAAGGAATTTGTCATATGAGGTTTCTGCAATCAAAATTCAACTTAAAGAAATGAGAATTGTCTCATGTTATATAGCACATTATCAAATGTGTTTTGCAAGAATACATTTACAAAAAAACCAATGGAAACTAAATCAAAACCTCAAAAGTATATTGTAATGAAGTTCACCCATAATGAGGCCAAGAAGCCCGACAATAAACTAACAACAAAAGTTATGAGGCTTGTAGCAAAACTCAAATAAAAGTACAGTAAAGTATGTAGAATAGAATTAATAGCAAGTAAACTTTTTTTAAGATATCTCTTTATACTAATTCAAAATTTAAAGAAGAATTTCTTGTCATTATCTAATATGTCTTTCTATGCAAAGTGCTATTCTTGTTAAGTATCTTTTAAACCATGTTCAAACTTCCTTCACCAATATAGAAATGCTCTTATCAATTCATGGTCACTAAAAAATCAATGTAAAAAGCAGTAAAGTCAAGAATGAATCCTAGTATCCTACATATATATACTTTATATTGTTGGATGATTTTGCATCTATACTTGTAAACAAATTCCCAATTCTAGCCACATTTAACATATGTAATTATGTATTGCATTTTACATTTTGCATTTTGTTGTCTACATGATACCCACAAAGGAGAAGGAAACAAACAGAGGTAAGGTAAAATGGTAAATCTCATAGCCCTAGGTCTATGTGCATCTAGGAAGAAAATTCAGTTACAAACTATTGATTAGAAGATAAGGAAAATTCTAAATAATTAGAATGTTTTCTGGTTAGAAAAATAAAGTTACTAACCAAAACCACAAGCAAAAGGGAATCAATGAGCAGTATCACCAGTAAGTATTA